TAGTGTTGACGAGGTCTGATGGGTTATAAAGACTTTCGGGACTGGAGCAATGATGATTCTAATCATTCATTTAAGATGATGATGATTGATTGTTGGCAGGAGGCTCAAGGGTGCACCGCCTTCAGATTCACCCCAATAGAGGCCGACAAACACCATCTTTTTAGTCGACCTCACAAGTTATCAGCCTGGAGGGCTAAATGGCAATAGGGAATGGAGTAGCATAGAGTGGTAGGCCGAGTGAGGATGCTTCTCGTCTCTATCATGTGAGTAGATCAACATGTATCGCCTTTTAGTTGACTTTGCAAGTTGTTGGCCTATTGGATCGACCGCTGGAGTCGCTCGAGTAGCCTTTCGTTAAATATGGTTGTTTAGGCACAGGGCGGGACACATTTCGGCCTTTTAATAGAATCAATCACTTAAACTATTTGCATTCTATAACACACCCAATTTAAGCTGTTATCTAAATATTTTATTGTCGTCGTTTGCAGATATAGTTGGCCAAAATTTAAGTAAGAACTATGCTTAGAGAAGAAAATAAATAAATCAGAGTGCTTAATGAAATCTTAATTAAACTGTAACTTTATAGCTATCGATACTAAAACTATCGGAAGTTGTAGCATAGTTGGTCACTGTTCATAGCTACATGGTACCCATTAACTTCATGGTATATATACTAAGATATAAGAATATAAATATATATAATATAGTTATAAGTATATTTATATGTGTCTATTATAGAATTACAGTTATATAAGTATATACAAGTGCATAAGTATAATTATATATAAGTATATTGCATTTAGTATATATAAAAGTATATCATATAAGTAAATTGTATAACTGTACTTAAATAAGCATTATGTAAGTATGTAATAAATACATATATAACTATATAATACATATTTATAAATAAGTAATATATACTTATGTGATTCTTTCTCTCTCTCATGTTATAACTTATAAGTATATACAATATATTTACATATAATATATGTATATAATATATAGCTATATAATAATTTGTAAGTATATACTAATACATACTTATATAAATATTCATTAGTTTGTAATTTTTATTTCTTATCTAAAAGTTTGTGATAAATTATTTTGGAAAGAGTTACAAATGATAGTGATATAGATGCGTAGGTGTCCACCTGGTTGGGATGTATTCATCTATTGTGATGTGACAAATTCCAAAAAAATTATAATTATTAGTGATTAATTGATTATTAATAAAGAATTTATTTTTTATCATTTTAATTTCTATGATTTTTTATATTTGTAAATTATATAATTACAAGTAATTAATAATATGATTACTTTTTTATCAAAATTTTGCTTAATTTATTGTTATTTATTCTTGAATTTTTTTAACAAAAAAATTAAAAAAAATTAAAAAAAGAAAATTGTCGGCCCGGTCATCTCGGCCCGGTCATCGGTCCGGGCCACGGGTTTTGCCAGGCCCGGGCCCGGTTTGTCGGGCCGGGCCGTTTGGACAGGCCTAAGTCTAGTGATTCCCTCCATGTATTTTTTTAAACAATCCATATTTAAAGTTATATTCTTGCCTTTAAACATGATAACTATCCATTTAAATTTAACTTCATTATTTTCAAAAGCGCTACTATGATTTTCCATCTATAAATTCAAAATCTTATCCCATTTGCTCTTACACTCACACAATAAAAAAGTTACTCTTGAACCAAAATACAAAGTGATTATATTTTCATCTTTCCAATTGGAACTACAGATAATGTTTTGCTGATACACCAAAGCCTTAATCCCATTT